CAGATCCGATCATAGATCAGAACCAACAACTCTGGTAGTCAAATCGCGATCTGTTTACGTCGCTGCGTTTTCAACATCAAATGTAGGTTGAATCGAGATCAACTCTTTGATGGTCGACTCGCGATCTGCTTCGCAACCACTACCAGTGCCTATCGTTGTGTAGCGTCGCGCGTAGTGGCTCCGAAAAAGATACGGCTTTGGTTCTGTTCCACCGCGAGCAACGGCAAACCGTTGTGTGCGTCGGCTTTCTCCGGCAAATTTGCTCCGCCCAAAGGGTTCAATAGGGGATGGTGGAGTGGTGGTAGGGACTAGAGAGAGTGAAAATGAGGAGTGATGGATGGAAGAGAGAGATACAGAGACCTGTAGAAAGAGAGAGAAAGTGGAGGGCTGGGTTTGAGATTAATCGCGGTGGGGGTGGTCACGTTATTACTTATTATGCAGATTAAGATTTAATTAAATTTTTATTAATTTTAATTATTAAAAGCTAATTAAGACCTGATTTTTGAAAAGAAAACTCACTCCCCTTTTTTTTGAAAAGTAATCTTTAAAGGCAGGTTTTTAGGTAATTTTCCCCCTCGAAATTCATTTTGGCCTAGGAGTGGAGATTTGAATTCAATCAACTTCTTGCTCGTAGGTGGATTGTGCATCAACCAGCTTGAGTAAGAAATTATTCATTGAACCATATATGAGCTAATTTTCTATCTGATAAAGTTCTGGCCTTTTGAAATATGACTTCATGATGTAGATCCTTTCTTATTTAAAATGAAGGTTACTTAACTGAGAATTGATAATAAATTTTTGACAATGTCTCCTTTTGATTCGGCGAAGAAATTGTCATTTTCTCGCTACAGAAGGGATGGATATTTGGTAATAGTATATGAGAGGCATGATAACATGAAGGCTGTAAAAGTTTCAGAGAACGGGGTTCTGCAAATTTGTTTCGGTGTATTCAAGCATTCGGATTGGATTGGGAAACCATTTGGTTCCAAAGTGTTCAGTAATAAGGGTGGATTCGTGTACTTGTTTGCCCCAGCTGCTGAGCTATGGACTCTGGTTCTAAGCCACAGTACCCAAATTTTATATATTGCCGATATTAGTTTTGTTGTCATGTACTTGGAGATAGTTCCGGGTTGCCTGGTTCTTGAGTCGGGCACTGGAAGTGGATCATTGAAGTTCGAGAAGGGAACTTGCGTAGCTGGCAAGATAATGAAGGTGGTTCCATGTCTTCTAAGATCCGCAAGAAGAGAGAACGCTCCACACATGGGCTCGAAAATGCAGGTTCTTTGGCCATCATGACTAAGTGCATTGGTGAATCTAGAGGTCGTACAGGCTATTTAACATTTGCAAGGCTCAAATGCACCATGTGAACCCTTTTGTGCTCATGTGGAAAGGAGCTTTTCTATTAGTATTTGCTTAATTTTTGATAGATCAAGCGAGTGTGGAGGAAATTTTAGAATAGCAGTGTAGAAGAGACCCTTGTCAGCTCCTCTGTGAAGAAGATTCCAAGGCATTCATTGTAGTTAAATATTTGAAATCATGTATTAAGCAAGAAAACATTAATATGAATCCTGCAGTTTCATGCAGAATTGTTGTTGATCTCTAATGTCCTATTCATTCTTAATTAATCGGCAGCTCTCAACAAATCATAATCTCACTGGTACTTGCTATATCTGAATACTGATGGGACTTTGGTTACTTTTTGTTCTCAAAAATGAGATCATTAATGGATACCTATTTTGAATGCTTACGCACTGAAGGGGGTGGATGACCTCTAGAAGTTGTTCCTAATATAATCTGTGATTATAGGTGCTATGTTTCCTCACTGTACATTCAGATATTTCAACTCACTGCAGAGCGAATGCATTACCTACATACTTTCTTATGAAAGTATGGTTATGTCAGCACCAATTGGAAGTGGAAAAAGCAATGCCTTTGAGTTGTGCATTTTGAGGCTTCTTTGATCGGCATTTAGGAACTCTAAGGAGAATCTTTTAACGGTAAATTTCTGTGCAGTCTAGCTTATTATGGAGTTTCTTGTGGATGCCGACCCGCCATTTCTAAAGCTTGCACTTCAACTATTGCTACTAAGCAATGCATCCATATTCAACATGAAGTGCCATTAATTTGGTGGATTTTTGTTCCTACCTGTTTCAAATCAATCTTTAATTCATCATATATCGACGAATATTGTTATTTACAGT